GCATCTGGTTGCATGAGGCTGATGTTCTACCATGAGCTTGTCAGTTTGGGAGAGCTTTTCCCAGCATGCTTTTATCTAGGACTGTCTGTATCAATTTTGTCAATATCTGCATTCTAAAACATCCATTTGAAACTGGACATAATTTGCTGCATCTTCTTGGTTTTTGGCTGGTATCCCAGATAGCTCCAATCCCATCTTTGCTTTAATGGGTCCAAGAAGAAATAGGCATTTGCTTTTGGGGGAACAACCTGCTTAGTTTGATTTGTGCCTCCATGCAGTGGCCAAACTCCATCTGGTCGTGATTCTGAACAGTGTGTTATGCAGATGTAGTACTGATGAGACATCTCTGGACATGAAAAAGTATCTGTCCTGCAGTGAAAGGAATTTGGAAAATATTTGAAGTTTTAAATGAAAATACCTAAATCTTCATTCATCACTTAGGTGAACAAAACACTTGCTGACACTGTTACAATGGTCACTTCTCTGCTGATGTGCTGTTGGAAGGACCATTCATTCTGTTACACAACTGGTACTTTCAGCTATTTTATGTCCCAAGGGTTTTCTTTTCTTCTTCTTCTCTGCATAAAATTTGTAATATTTTAGTTTTAAAAAGCAGTGTTCTTAGGGAAAATAGTAAAAGAAATAAATATTCCTGAGTTTATAGCAGAACCAGTTGTGACCCTATTAGCTGGCAGTTCTTACAGATAACCATAGCCTGAACTTTGCAAAGCACTGGTGTAACAGCGAGTGCACAGTGTGTGGAAAATCGAGTTAAACCAAAATAAGGCAGAGTAATCTTCATAGCAGGTGAGGGGGTTGATTTCCAGATACAGGAGGGAATATTCTTTTATATTCCATTCTATTTTCAAGCTGTGTTTCTCCTTTGGCAGGAGGCAATATTACTTACCTATCTGGAGAGATTTTAAAATCCTTCTTTTGCAGAAATAATCTTTCCCCTTGGGAAGATGTAACCAGCAATACTGTGAAGAACTCAAAATGTAGGTGTTTTGTTACTGGAAAAGCCTTGAAAACATGAATGAGATTGCAGATATAGGGGAGAAGAGGCTGCATATTTTAGGAGCATTGGAGCAGGAACAGATGCAGTCACTCACTCTACACAGCTGTGATGTGTCTGCACCTGAATGCTGAGGAAGGATTCCAGAGCTTAATATTGAGTTAAGTTGAACAGGGGAAGCCTAGTCTGCATCCATTTGAGGGATGGCTGAATGTGATCATATCACATCACAGGAGAATTAATTGAGAAAGGGAAAAATGTTAAACTCAGAACCCAGAAAAAAAGGCTACACCGTGAAACTACTTTGAATTCACTCCATAGACATATAACCACGTCTGACAGGAGGTTGGAGTCAGGTGGGGGTTGGTCTCTTCTCCCAGGCAACCAGCAGCAGGACAAGAGGGCACAGACTCAAGCTCTGCCAGGGGAGGGTTAGGTTGGATATTAGGAAGAGATTTTTTACAGAGAGAGTGATCAGACATTGGAATGTGCTGCCCAGGGAGGTGGTGGATTCACCATCCCTGGAGGTTTTCAAGACAAGACTGGATGTGGCACTTAGTGCCATGGTCTAGTGACCATAGTAGGGTTGGACTTGATGACCTTGGAGGTCTTTTCCCACCAGGCTGATTCTGTGGTTCTATGATTCTATGTGCTCTCATGTATCCTTATTAATGGGCCATAAATGAAGTGACAATCACATGCAAGTTTGCAGGGCTGAGGCATTTCCCAAGGAAAATACTGAAAGGGGATATATATAAAAATATGAAATCTTGCACTAGGCTTAAAAAAATATTTAAAATGTACTGTAGGTAATAATGTTGGATTAGGAAAAGAAAATGCACATTCTGTATAGCTAATGGATTTCTTAAAGACTTCATCTCTGTGGTTTATTTGGGAAAAATCAGCTCAGGAATTCATCACTTTTATGTGAGTGTTTCTTCTTTTTATTTTTCTTCCCCACTCTCACCAAAGGTGGTTGAAATAATTCAGGAAGATTTGAAACAATATAGTTTGTTTCTTCTTCTTTCATCTGCCCTCCTTTTACTGCAGCTGTAATTCTTTAATTAATCTCATTATGGAACTCCTGTTAGTGGTGAACTCCTCATATTCAATGGTTTGCACTTTTAATCTATTACATTCTATAACACATATGTGTACACCCACCTATATGTTAAAGTCTTAAATGCTCAAGGCATTTCCTTAAATTAGTAGGTTTCAAACTAAGCTGTGTGAACAGGTTTAAACTGGAAGACAACTTGCTGCCAGTAGGACACTGCACTTAAAAATCTTTTTTTTTGGTAAAGATGACTGATTTACATATATTTGGTTGTTCCTTTCTGAAAACAAAAGTGCTGCAGTCAAAATGGTTTCAAACAGGTGCATATATGTGATTGCTTTTGAGTTAAAAAAACATGTAAAGTTTTCAGTTACACAAAAGACCTTAAAATTACTTTTTTTATTTAAAGGAAAAAATCAGAAAATCCAAGAACAAAGCAGTACCAAAGGCTGAGTATGTGGTGGTTTTCATCAAGCCTAATTCAAGATGCTTGAGATGTTTCTGAACGTTTAATCTTGGCACTAACAGCTGAGAATGTAGTGATAAAAGTCGTAAGACTCATGGTGCAGAATCCAGTTTATTGGTCCACAACCCAGACTCAGGCAGCTTTGAAAATGTATAAAGATGAGAGTAACATTTAATTCCTGAAACTACGTTGGGAATGTTTGAAAAAATAAAGAGGAAAGATGATCATTTAGATAAACTACAGAGCACGTGATCTTCTGAACTGTGCTCACACAGGCACAGCAGTGGTTCTGCTCACAGGTCTGAACTGATCCTCCTGCTCCAAACTGAATTTTAACCAACACTTTGCAGTTGTTAATAACCATTTGTAATGGAAAGAAAGACAGTTGTAACTTGGCAATTTTTCTGTGATTATATAAACCTAACGTTTTTGGGGTTTTTTTTCCTGTTTTAAAGGAGAGGAGAAATTCTTCATGGGTTCTGCAATCTTGGTTTTCTTTTTCTGCACTTAACCTTTTTCAAGTTAATCGTGAAAAATATCAGAGCATTTCTGTTGAACATTCTATTGGTGTTTTTGGTTAGCCATTTAGATGCAAACCCAAACTATGGGATGCATAAAAAGCTTGGACAAAAGGCTGTTACCAGTTAAAAATAAAGCCTCCAAATAGTCCTGCAGCAAAACTAGACTCTTGGTTAAAGAAAAAAGGGGAGGAATGGGGCAGGGAAAGGAAGGCTATGAGCTGTTAGTGCAGTTTTCAAATGTGATTTAGAGAGTAGCAAGGAAGTGGGTCACAGATTGCAGAACACACAAGCTACTCTCCCCAGGCTTCCCTTTAGACCCAAACTGTGGCATTAGTCACTTGGAGGACTTTTCCAATGTAATGGTCTTTTACCTGATAATTTGTTTCAGTCTGTGCAAAAGTTTAAAGTTGGTAACTTTACAGAACCTATCACCTTTTGCAAGTAGGAATTATGTCAGAAATGAGGGACTAATGGGTATAAATGCAGTTTTCATGAAGCTGCACAGCAAATCTGTAATTCTGGGCTTCTGCCTGTGTTGGCTTCTGCCTGTAAATCCCAAAATGCTTTTTGCTGGGGACTTGCCACTCTGGATTTCTGTCTATTTCTAGTCAGTTCTTTCTGTTTTCATCATTCTTTTTTTTTTTTTTCTATCCTGACTACTTACATTGAAAAAACCCTACATTAATTACATGCTCTGGAGATGCACTAGTTGCCTTCATTCTGGGTATTTCAGTCCAGGCTTGTCTTACATAAACTGATGTGTTTCTGTGACTGTTTCTTCATGAAACTCAGGTCACGGAATGATTTGGAGGGCACTTGAATAACTGGAAGTAATACAGAGTAATACAGTCTCCAGTATATGTAATTCTCTGTGGTTTGTTCTCTCCTAACTCAGGTGTCAGTTGTTCATCTAGTCTAATGCTTTTATCCTCCCATATTTCTTCTCTTTGTACACCTTGAATTGTAAAATGCCATTCAGATATATTTGAATGAATTCTTTGTCTTTCTGCCAAAATATGAGGAAAGAAATGGTGCATTGCACAAACAAATTCTGCTAGAGATCTTTCAGCCCTTTTTTCCCATATCTGTCACTGTCTGTTGGGGTTTGGGGGTCCCCTCTATGTCAGCTCTTGCTTCCCTAATCTGATCCTAAGTGAATTAAAAAATGCCCTGAAAGTTTTTTGTTCTCTGCAGTCACAAAGGCAAGACGAAGCATTTTACAAACTCTGCTCCTGATTTGGAGAATTAGGTTCGTCCTGTCCCTTTTATACATCCATTTTGCAGAAGCCTCTTCTGCTGAGTGATCATCTGTTCTGTTTCAGATTCGTGAGCTGCAGGAGTGTTCATGGGCTTAATTTCCATTTTATTATTTGTTTGTTTAAAATATCGTTATTCAATACATCATTTTTCTGTCACTAAAGATTTCCTGAAGTGAAGGATTTCACTAGCAAATGTGCACAGGCAAACTTCCAATAGTAAGAGGCTAAAATTATAAACACTTTTTAAAAAACTGTCTCTTTAAAAGTCAGGTCTTATTTCAGAAAGATTGCTGGTGGCTCCAATTTCATGTTCAGGCTTCTTTGGCATTTCATTGGGAGGCTAGGATGAAACTCCTTTCTATATATATTTTTTTCTCTAAGCCCCTGCTAATAAGTTATTCCAATAGATTTTCTTTAATGGATTTTCATCTTCTTATAGTCTGAGTCTATAGTATTTTTCATTACTCTTTTCAACTGTTTAAATTACTCAGTGTAATTTTTAGAGTTCTATGAAGAAGCACAGTCTATAAAGAGTGTGGGTGTATAAACCTTTCATAAGCTACTCTCACAGCCAGCTGTGTTCTACAGGAGTGTGTAAAGTAGGTCATAGTTTGTTCACTGTTATGCTGAAACAACCAAGTGTCAGACCAGAACGTCAGTCCTGTACGTTAAGATGAGGGAAAATGGTGTGTGCTATCCAAAATAGATGGCAAAGGTGTTTGAACTTAATGCATATATAAATAGGACAGAGGCAAATCCTCAGATGGCTGACAGGAGTTGTGCAGATTTTTGAATCCTGGGAGGTAATGAACAGGAAATCCAGATCCATTCCAAGCCAGTGCTTCCTTCAGCCATCATCTGTGCCTCAACACTGCGACACATATGTGATAAACTATGTCAAATGAGCTGCATTTCCAAGGAACATGACAGACCAAGTAGTAGATGACTTTATTGTAGTAGGAATAGCAAGTCAAAAATAGCAGTAAACAGTTGTGCTAACCTCCTCAAAAGCAACCCCCACCTCACCTCCAAGGAAATTAATCACAGTCCCCACTAGTGTTTATTATTGTAGTGGTGGCTATAGTGCCCTGTGATTTAGAACATGCATGTGACTAAAACAGTTTAATAAGATTTGATCACTGTTAAAAAATAAATATAAGAAAGAAGGAGACTAAAAAATCCAGTGGAGACTGAAACATAGTGCTAACAAATTGAGCTGTCCTGACAGTAGAAACCATACGAGCTATACAGATAGAAACCCTAATACTAGAAATAAGTGACATGTGAGATTTGGGGTTTTTTTTTAACTTACACTGTTACAGCACTTAAGGGTCTCAGTTCCTCTGTGTTTTAGGACTGAAAGCAGGAGCTGATGTTTTAAAACTCCATGAAATACTGTGATCATGCTGCTGCTGAACATGACTGTGTTACATCTACCTAAGACTAATGTTGCACCTCCTTACATTAGCAATCAGACATTCTCTGCAGATAATTTTCACCCATTCAGTTACACAAACATCTTGGGATTGAAGGTGTTGGCAGTTTTCATGGGAGCTGAATCCAGCCTGCTGTGAGAATGGTTTCCTTGGCATTGCCCTGAGACTGGCAGCAGTGCACAGTTGCAATCACCACTGTGTGAATGGCATCCTCAGGCAGTTTGTTCTGCCCAGTGAGGTCCATACGCCTTTCCCCAGCATGCAGGAAATCTCTGTAAAGAAAAAGAAATGGTCTCCATTGCAGCAGAATCACAGTTCTGCAGTGGTAGGAATTTGCCAGCACACGGTGACTAGGGACAGAGAGGGATAAAATGGGAACAGTGCTGCTAAAGTTCAACTTTTATGACTTTTTAAAATGCAACTGAAAGTAGAAATCGGTCTGTCTCTTGCTCTGTTGAAGGAATGGTAGGACTCCTAAGACTGGAGTGGTTCAAAGTCAGCACAGGAGTGGTAGGTTGTTGATGTTGACATTTACACTATTTAGATATGTGTTGTCTGAAAGCAATGGGCTGGATTTTCAGCTAAACATCTTCCTTAGGCATTTCACATATTTTAAGCAAGTTAGTTCAGTCTGAGGTGTCACAGCCTGAAAAATACATTTTTCCAATGGAAATTTCTAGTGAAAAGACTTAGCCAAGCAGCTTCTTCCTCCATCTTTCCAGCTTATCTGAATCCTGAGGACAACTTACTTTTCTATCTGCATAGGAAGCAAGTATATGTCAAGAACCATTTGAATAACTGCCTGAAATCCAGATTCATGCTGACAACCTGTGCTTCCTGCTTAGTGTGATGTGATTTGAAATTGTTATGCTTAAGTAACACAGGTTATGATAAGACATGGATGCTCCCACCTAAAAGCACTGCTAGCTGATACCTAAGACACCTGCTCATTTCCATGTGAAAGTCTGTATGAGCCCTGAGCCCTTTGAATATGTTGCAGTTTGTATGAAATATTTGCCAAGGCCAACCTCATCACATCAAGGAATATTAGACAAAATTCAGTGCAGTAGGGCGTATTTTGCATATGGAACATTCATAGTCATGTGGGATATTGTATCCACTCTTGATTTTATTCATTACCAGCTGTACAAACAAGCCCCAGAACCCAGAAGGGTCTTGTGCCATCAAGGCACTGGGCACACATTGCCTTGACCATTGTAGAATATTGTGTGTATGCTGCTGTTGCAGTCATAGTTTGGGTTTCTAAGGTATTGCCTGTGTTCCTCCTCAATATATCACTTTCCCTGCATGTTTCCCCTGAGCTGAGATCTTCCAGGTTGGTAGCACACTGAGCACCTTAAATTAGCACATGGGCCAGTTGCAGCCCAGTATTCTGGGTATGTACCAGGAGGATTTTGTTTGCTGGTTTTCGATTGCATGCCTTGCAAGGGCAGCTAAGCACTCCTGAAACTACATGTACAAAAGGGGATTTTTTGGGCTTATTTAGCTTTCTTTGCCTCTAGCATAACTTCTATATAAAAATC